GTCGTTGTCGTTGCAATCATTGGTTGGTGCATAACACTGGATAACATTTATTGTGATTCCCTCCTCCTTTGTTTTGAAAGATGCTTTGGTGATCCTGGCTCCATGAGATTCACATTCAGTAAGTGCTTTTCGTGCTTCTTTGGACAGCATTAGAACAACTTCCCTAGTGTGCGCAGCATTTTGTTCTTCGTGACACGAGTTCAGAAGCATCTCCTGAATCTATCCTTTCCTGTCCAGCTTGGATCCAATGGGTTCCACTTATCCCGAGCACTGCCAAGTTGTATGTCCTCATTTCCACAGTTATTCGACTGGTCCTCCCGGTCTCCTACATTGTCCGAACGTTCCATGTACTTATAAAAATATTGCTCTGGTTTTTAGAAGCATCGACCTCGTGACTTTCGAAGAATTTTGGCTTTCATCATGAGACATCATAATTCTTCATTGAACTCCCAGGATAGTGTTTAAATGGTTTAATTTGTTTAATCCTGTTGGCGTTTTTTTAGCAAGATTTCTTTTTATGTGATGGGGTTGCCGACACCATGCCCAACCCTCTTTTTTTACCTGGGCTTGGGACCGACAGTAACTCTAGGAGAGCTACAGCTAATAAGAATATCAAGAGTTTTATGCACATTTAGGCAACTGAAATACCGTTTTGTTTTGAAAAAATCCAAATGTAGCTGAGGGATTCAGTGACACACTCACGCAAGTGTAGATATCAAGTTTGGTGCTATAAGAGGTGTGTGTTTCTGGGTTTTTGAAATGTGCCACATTCAAAAATATAATTAGATAGGTTAAAAATGAACTGTACCAGTGGGTTATATATAACCCTATATATTTTAGCTATCACTGTGATCATATTCATCGATTCGTACTACCGTTTTCATATGTAAATGATCTTTTATTTGTTTCTACTACTTAATATTCTGTTACTGAATGTTCTGCTTTTTCATACCTTTTTAAAATATGTACGTAAACTTGAACATGAAACATTTACGTTCAAATGTTTAAGGAATGTGGAACTTAATATTTTTGGTTTAACGTAATTTTATTCAGAAATCAACAAACAACCAATCAAAACAATCTGCGGGAATAATACTTTCTCTCTGTCATCTATTTTATCCCATAAATTCATGCAATTATATTATTGAAAATATTAGTCAGCTGTGCAATTAACTGTAGTTTGATCGAATATTTCACACTGATCATAAATTATATCCTTGGTAGTCAGACTTATGTTTGCACTCATGTAGTATGAAATTTGTTTTCGACCAGACCAGTGAACTTTGATCGTAGATTCTAATCTATCAGTCCTACTCTGCTTATGTACAGAAATTTGCTTTCTCTGTTACCCGACACTCCCTTCACTTGAATATATCACCCCTTTCACTGAATATGTTTAACCAATGACAAGCTAACGATGATTTGTATGTCCACACATTTCTCCGCATTCTTCACAGTTATACACTTTTTTCGTATATGCGAAGGTAAGATAAAGAGAGATAGAGAAAACAAGCGAGCACATTGGAATCGAAATTTAGAAATAACCTGAAAGATAAATTACTAGTGTTGTTCACTCTCTCTCTCTCTCTCTTCATAGACATATACATATTTACGCACATGATAAGCGTATACACACGCAAACATTGCGTAAATCTACATATCTTAAACATCTGTTCGATTCATCGAGGATACACATATAGGTATAAGTATATGATCAATCCTAAGCTTGACATGAATGTAAACTTTCAAGCAAACATGATAATGGGGTGGAGAAAACAATGGAAAATCGTTCAAACGAGTAGCGAATAAATGAATGAATGAGCAATAGATGAATGAGTGAATAAATAAGAGAGTAATGGTGGACAAATTGAGTGAACCATCACAATATTTAAAACTGTTTAAGTAATTAAGTTATTGAACGAATAAATACTAATAAAATGTGCACAAATGTGTGTTGTATGTATGTATAAATATTTTTGTATTTACGTATCATCACAATACAAGATGTTATTTAACACACGAAAACATTCATTTTCATTTGAACTATCGTTGACATTCATTTGTACAACAGAACTACTAGGATTTGTACTCATCATTTGGATAATAATTTTAACAGTAAAGTAAGTTTAGAAAGTAACTCGTGGAGATAAAAACTATTATTATTATTATTATTATTATTATTATTATGCTAAAATCGTATCTCTTATTTTTCTCAATTAACCTTCCGTTCAAATAGACGATCTTAACGAAATTATAAAACTATTAATACACTTTAGTCGATTGATAGGGATTGGAAACAATCAAGAATTTAATAATAATATATACACTGTTCAGGATGGTTAGTTTACGTTCTACTATGGTAGATAAGAATTAAATCTTTGTGATCAACATGAAACACATACGAATATTTCGGCAATCTAAGATTTATAAACAATACAGTGAAGTAATTATGGATTAAGAGTTTATAATGGTTACAAAATCAATAAGAATCCCTTAAAGGTTAATGAAGTCATTGTAATGTTTAAGGACTATTTATTAGATTCTGAAAAGTTTTATTGGTAATCTAGTGACATATACTTTGTTTATTAAAGATGAGTGTTTGTCATTTGTTATCATATTAACTTTAAATTGAAATGAGAACTATCTTTGAGATTATGCGTAATCCCTGATGTTTTCTTTTAATTACTGCGGTTCGTGTTAATCATGTGTATTAATTAGTTCGTCTGTTTGATGAAAAAGGCGATTTCTGCTCCACAATGTAGATAGGTTGTATCAATTGTTAGTTTCTTTAGGATATAATTCCCTTATCCAGAATAAAAGTCTTTATTTTTACTCATTTCTAACTAATCTGGAATCAGTCTAGCGAAAAAAAATTCTTAGACAAGTATTATTATTCTTTATCATACTGGTCGAATCACTGATACACGAAATCCGTGGATATGACATAGTGAATTGCGCGGTTTAATAATTATTAGTTGGCCTGAAGTCCCTCCGGAGGCTACTGCCGGTCCCAAGCCCGGATAAAGAAGGAGGGTTGGGCATGGGGTTAGCGTCCCCATCCCGTAGAAAACTAACTCGCTAAAAAAACGCTAACCAGAAAAAATTATTCAAAAGATCGGCAAAGCAAGAGCAGCATATTTACAACTGAGGAACATCTGGAACTCAAAACAACTGTCAACCAACACCAAGGTCACCACTTTCAATACAAATGTCAAGACAGTTCTACTGTATGGGGCAGAAACCTGGAGAACTACGAAAGCCATCATGCAGAAAATACAGGTGTTTATTAACAGATGTCTACGCAAAATACTTCAGATCCGTTGGCCGGACACTATTAGCAACAACGCACTGTGGGAGGCAACAAACCAGATCCCAACGGAGGAAGAAATCAGGAAGAAGCGCTGAAGTGAATAGGACACACATTGAGGAAAGCACCCAACTGCGTCACAAGACAAGCCCTCACATGGAATCCTGAAGGTCAAAGGAAAAGAGGAAGACCAAAGAACACATTACTCCGAGAAACGGAGACAGACATGAGAAAAATGAACAAGAATTGGATGGAACTAGAAAAGAAGGCCTAGGACAGAGTGGGTTGGAGAATGCTGGTCGGCGGCCTATGCTCCATTGGGAGTAACAGGGTAAGTAAGTAAGTAATCTCTAGATATCATAAGACGTAAATTTAAAGATGACAATTAAGAAAAAGAATTTCCTCTGCTTTGCATAAAGCAAGTTTTATATTTTACTCCAAGATATGAATGTAACCCATTTTCGTCAGTTATCATTAATTGGCTAACTTATACTTGTATGGCAACACATAGCCGTTCGAATTTTACTCAGTAAGGTACATTTTTCTTATCGCACTCTAAATTTTCGTGCCTAAACACTTTCTCAACGCTTTAAAAGTCAAGACTTCATCAATGTCCATATAACAAATGAAATACAAATTCTTCTATATTGCCATTAGATGGTAAATTAATGACTACTTATTGACTTTTATACACAACATGATCTTGTTATCCACATCTAATGGATAGTTAACACTATTACCATTAAATAAGCAAATAGCTAATTAGTAATAAGTTTTGCATAACAGGAAAGACTTTCTGTGTCATCCATTAGATAATTCATAATATCTTGTACTATTTATAACAGTTTCATGTTAAATAGTTGTTAGTTAAATAGAATATCGATTGCACGGATAGAATTACAAGATTAAGAAGACAGTATATATCTGTCTGTAGATTGGGTAAACAGCATTCATTTATGTTGAACGTTATGATACACAGTGATGGATTGAAAATATGATGGAATATGATAAAATTTGAAGAATTTATTACATAAATAAGTAGCGTTCTCTTTGTACGTACCTAAAAAATCTTGTCTTTTTTCCTTTAACCATTAGAAAGTATCTTACCTTTACAGCTGGTATCGGTCATTTCCCAACATGAAGCAACACGGAACATTCAGTTCCACTTTAGCTAAAGTGTATCGGTACACTCAGTCAACTTCTGAACAATATGTATTGTGTTTAGGGAAATTTTATCATAGTAGATATCACAGTAAACTTGCAAATATATTCCTTTTGTCTCTTAAACTTATTTCAATTAATGATTCAATTTCCATATGAAGTAAGCAAAACTGTCTATTATAAAGGTTGAATGAATTATTCAGAAAACATGAGTGAAACACTCATGGAATTCGTTCAAATCGTTACAACTTATACGAGAATAAATACCAAAGACTGAATTACATATTGTAATTAAATCTAAAACTTGTACTGAAGTAGTTAAACTTCACTTCGGTAAAAAGAACTTCTGTTCACACTACGAAGACTTCTTTTCTGTTACTAATAAAACGGGTAAATGTAAATCAATCGATCAATCTAGTTTTCAACTACTTATGAGTAATATTATTAATGGAATTTTTATAATTTCCCTTTTTATATTTAGAAAATACTCTACCGAACATAAAGAAAACCTAATACTAGTATCTCAGTTTCAATGTTAACTCATACAGAATCAATAATTAGTCCACTAATTTGCCATAACTACAATCTGTTTAATAAACAAACTCACATGTACCACCCTATTATATCTGACAGTTCCACTTTACACAGTAATCAGATAGCCTCTTGTACAATTATTCATAAAAACAACAACAGTGATAGTAGTAACACTGCTAACATAAACGATATTTCCAATAGGAATAATTTACATTTCAGAAATAAGCCTGATTACACAGAAATAGCTGAGATACGAACATTGACAGCATCAGAGTCACTAAAGAACATGTGTCAGTCTTTTGATTTGGGAACAAAACAGCTGAATAATGGTAATGATAACAATAATCATCGTCAAAGTAATGAATCGCAGTATTATCAGTCAATGCAGTATTTAAACTCATGCCTATTTAAGTCACTACAATTAAATTTCGCATCATCCAGTGAAGCATGCCACGGCTATCATAATCAAAACAATGAAATAAATGAGGAACTTTCATCGGATTATACAACAAACAAGTTATCACATGGATCAAGAATGAGAAATAATGAAACTTCAAAAGATAGTATGTCAACATCAGCTGTTCCAGTCAAAACGTCACCATCTCTGTCAACATCCTTACCTGTTTCACTCTCATCATCTAGTATACATTCATCATTGTATAGTGAATCAAATGGGGTCCAACTTCCAATGAGCGATTTATTCTCTTATAAACAAGGAAGAGATGAAATATTTAATAAACTTGAAACGGTGAATGAATCAGTAAATGTAAGTCTATCTGTGTATGGACAGTTTGGTTTACTCTTGTCTTTATTGTTATCTCAATTTTATTGCAACATATATTGAAAATAATACAAGTAGACTATTTACTAAAATTTTGGTGTTTCACAGGTAGTACATTGGCTTTTAATTCTGGGAATGAGTCGAAATTGTAGGGTTTTCAACTGAAGCATTATAGGACATGTAAATATTGAACTTATTTCCTACAGATTATTCACATTATCCATATGCACCAATATTGTGACCTCATAATCAAAGACACAAGTTACTCAACTATAGATGGAATCGATAACAGAAAATACCCCCAAATCAAACTTAAATTTAATGATAGTTTGATGATGATGATGATGATGAGAACTTTTGAGTTCTGTATGTCAAAGTATCAGTAGAAAACCTAGACGATAGTAGTTCCTACCGGTTGTTTGTGTGAATAAGAGAAATTAAACTTTTTTGTTTATTTTGAACTGAATTAGATACCCCGGAGAGTTAATTTTTGCTAAATAGATAGAGTTAGCTTTTGCTTAGACTCAACTTATTTTTACTACCATTAATAAGACTAAAGTAAAAGTATTGGAATGACTAATAGAATACCTGTCAGGTCATCATTTAATGCATTTTCATTTATATAATGTATCCATTACCAAAGAAGTGTTTGATTCAATATAAATTCATAATCTCTGCATTATATAAGTACAATCAATTATACTGTTTCGTGATCTGTCAAACTTTAAATTATTTTCATAAATTGTCATGACTATCCAACCGGTTTATTGGCAAAACAACCTTTACTTACTTCCCTACTTAATATTCAGAGCCCTCAGATGAGCTATAGACGACCGACAAGTATCCTGAATTGATCTCTGCCCCCATGCTTTCCCTTCCAGCTGGCTTCAAATCAATTCCGTTGTTCTGTTACGTTCTTCAGTCGTCATTTTTTTAACACTACAACGTACATATTTTATCAATATTTATCACACAGTCAGAATTACAGTGATTAATAGCTAGATGTTCTGGTTGAATCAGGAAAACAACTATTTCTAGTTGAATGAAGAATTACTTTCAACTCATTCCAGAATGTAAGTCACACGTTACATATTGTATAAATAAAGTGATGGTAACCCATTGGACTGTCAAAATAGAAGTAAGTCTCGAAAGCTGAAGCTATTTCGATCATGAGCGACTTAGTAGGTTTATTCTGATATTGTACTTTAAAATCAATCTAATTCTGGTTGAGTAAGAAGAGGGTTTTAATTAGGATAGTGGTAAATTAACAGAAGCTACCATTCAAATTTACAATTTGTTTATTAACGTTGAATAAATTTTAACAATATTCAATGTCAGTATAGTTTAATTACTATCACTCCCTCCTTTTACAACTATCTGTTCTTTAGTGGTGGATAGTATTAATGAGGTTCCATAAAGCCTTCGCATTTATAATCACATGTCTCCTAGAAGGTACAAATACTTCGAATTTTTATTACTTGCATCTGGAAAACATTTTGGTATCTATCTATATCGGAACAAATTATCGACCGTACTTTACAAGTTTTTTATTCAACTGTAACCACTAAGCTATACAGATAACCTGAAAAGAAATCTATTTTTTCAAGTTCATATTTCGAACAACACTTGCTTGTGTATTAGTAAAAATCCTGATTTTTCAGAGGTGCTGAATTATCTAGGTAAATAGCCGCAACTGAAATCGATCTTTTAAGTATGTACATGGGTTCATATTTGCAATCTATAATTTTTTGGGAATAATTGATGAATGTTTAAAAGTAAATTACTGAATCTGTTGTCCCTGCTTTCGAATACTAAGGAATTTATCAGTGGTTTACCATACTTTTTGTTTCGTGTCATTTTCCCCACTAGTAAAGTAAATATTATTATGTACATTCATTTCTACTCCCGACTAATGTATCTACAGTCATACCAATATCCCTCTAATAAAACTTCATACCAACAAATAGATAAGTAAGCTATTATCTGAGTTTTATTAGCTAAAAATTTTCGACATTCACTGAAAAAGGGGCTTTTATCGAAGTTATATCTATGTAATATACAATTTTGGAGTATCTGTTTAATATTCTTTATAAAGTGCTACAGCGATAAAAATGTTACAACAATCAATTCACATTTAAAAGTCATGAATTAGTAGTATTAATGTGTTTATATATGGTAATCAATTTCTCTGTTATTATTTTTATGGTTTCAAAACCGGTCTGTGTTTTGTTTAACAATGATCTATATATTACATACTCAAGATGTATTGAGTAGAAGTTGACAGTTCTCTATAAGTATATTTCAAGAATATTCTATCTAACTGTGAGATTTGCAAATTATGTGAAATAAAAAGATGTTCCCACCATTTATTTGATTTATATCACTAACTGCAAATTTTGGAAGTACCTATTTACTTCTCAGAATTCAAAGTACCCAAATTGGTTGTGATATTAAAGTTACATTAGTTTCCTAATAATTTTTATATTCTGACCATTTTGCAAATAGATTGATTATCATCCATCGATTAGAATGAGTAAAGTATATATATATTTATATTCAAGTCTTTCGGGTGTACCTTTGATATCACTATTGATTGTTTCAAAGTTTCCGTTTTTATTTAAATAATTTCAAATATTGGCAGAAAGAAAAAAACAAAAACAAATCCAGCTTAAATAAATCTTGTCAAGTAATCAGTCTACTATGTATACAGTTGGATTGGAATGAGATTGTCAAATGATTTATTATTGTGTTATTTAGATTGAATTATATATATATATATTCCCCCGGTTTTATTTGATAATAACTTAATGAACAGGTGAAACGAATTGTCAATTGAAATTTAAGACAACCACAGTATTGTGTTAATGAAGCGTAGTAATTTATTAGGTATTTAACCATGAATAAGTTTGTTATTTTCTCTTTCCATAATAATCAATTCATTCCATATGCTTTTGAACTTTAAACATTGATCTTCATCCTTTTTTTAAAAAAAAAAATTATAAATTATGATCATCATAACAACGAAGCCAGTTATTATTCAATCATCCATTTGCCTAAGTTGTGATTAGTTAAGTAATTGAAATTAAAACTCTCTTCTTTTAATCATTAATTTAATGTAGCATTTTAATTTATTGATGAGTATATCTATTTTCTCAATCATTTAACCTTTATTCTATGTGTCATTTATCAAATTATTTTATTAATTCTATGAACTAAGAGAAACTGAATAAATGACTGGAACACTGTGACTGTATAATAACAATTTCACTGTTATGTTCTAAATGTTATGGTATTTTTTGAAATACCTAAAAAGTGGATGATTAGACTGTTTTACATTACAGTTTCTTATCATGAATTTAATTGGACCATTAGACTTGAGATTTATTTTGTTTGTGTAATGAAACTGATAGTTATAAGTAAAACTTATAACCTATACATATTTAAATAAAATGTTAATTGGATATCTGTACTATTAACTAAGGATTTATTCATCACTTGCCATACATCTGATAACTTTATTGAGATATGAAAGTGGGATATAAAAGAAAAAAGACTAATTACAATCATCAGTAACAGAAAACTCAATAGTACAATATGTATATAGTGAAGAATATTATTAATCATTTTTTAGATTATGAGAAAGGAAATTTATGAATTCAAATTAGATTACAGCTAGTACTGGAGTTCAGAACGCGTGTTCCGTCCTATTTGGGACCAGTGAGCTGGATGCGCCTGAATTCCTGAGTTTATGTTAAGACTGAGAGCCGGTGTTGTTAAAACTTGTTACTAAATATCACTACTGATGTTGTCTGCATAGAATACATATATGCCTATAGAAACTGACTAATTACCATCTATAAAATCTACAACTAGTAAATGCTATACCTTAAAAATCACTTCACATTCATTGGAAAAATTAGTGATTATCTACACTCATTAGCTAACTAGATAAGAAAGTATTAGGTACTGGGTTCGAAATTTTGTGTTTCATTATTGAGATTCTGGAAAATTAGTTGACGAGTCCCATATAGGACAGAACACAATTTCTGGATCCAATTACTAGCTAAAATTTAACTGCATCAAAGTTTTCGACTAAATAGTTACGTCGACATAACACATTTTAGATGTACATATGCCGATAGAGCTGAATCCCAGTCATTTTAGTAGCCTAGTCTAGTAAACTTTTTTGAAATGGTTCATGAACCTCAGGTTCAACTAAATTGATCGAATTGGTGAAAATGGGTCTTATTTTCACTGTTAAAAACCTAGTGAGTAAGTGAACAAATCATGAATAGTGTACATCCATAGGGGTATTTATTAAAAATTCTGGGTTCGATTCAACTAAAATTACGAACACATGTTTAATGTATTGTGTATAAGTTAACGGTATTTATGTGGAGCATGCGAAAGAAGCAACAATAGAATTCTCAGTAATAATAATAGCATAGGATCATAGAACGGTTAACTTCATATGAATTATACCTAAATTACGATATTTGAAAATGAGGTTTTACCTTGGTAAATTTTAATACTTTTAAAAGTGTATAGTTTATCCAATTCAAAATCAGTTAATGTAAGACATGCGTTTCATGAAATCTTGCACAATTTACTATTAGATAGTAAAAACGGTGCGTAAAAATTAAAATGGATTATATCATGAAATTTAGAAACTAATATAGCAGTTCCAATCGTTTCCGCTGATGTTATTTAGGTAATTATTTGATTCAATTATAATTTTATTTCATTCTAAACACGAATAACCAAACGGAATGTTTATGCTGTTCCTTTACTTCTGTTTCCGTGTAAATGTAAATGAAAGTCCTGACAACAACAACAACGAAAACCATTTGTTAGCCAATTTTCTTGCTTGTTCCGTTCATGCTATACTTTGATCTTCTCATATCAAAAATAAATAAAAGAGCTAAGTAAACGGTACGTAGAGTAATCAACAGAGAACATTCAACCAAATGGACAGTCATCATCTA